TTGTTATACACACCATCAGCCTAGTTGATAATTATTTAATGGTTAACTTATATTACAGTTGGCAAATGTAGATTCAGCTACCAACCACAATCCATTTATTCTGTATCAACTTATGTCATAGTGGGCATATCGAGGAAACTCCTCACAGGACATCCATATGCCAACCACGACTGACTAAATGTCGGCCGAAATATAAAAAGTGGGATAATCCAAACCCTTTCAAAGTGAATCAGTTCTAAACAAACTTACGTCATTTATTTGGAAAGGTCTAAGTTCTCTGGGTTTTTATGCTAAGGACTATAATCAATCAGTCTATATTGCCCTATTTGCATCTTAAGATGACAACCTCAATACAGCCAATAATTCACAAGTTTTTAAGTAATATTTGATAGTGGCTAGCAGCGGATTTCAGGAGGAATTTTTTTCTCCTATCTGGGTACTTGTCAAATAAGTGTATCTTTATCCCAGTGTTGATTTTCATAAGCAGACGTCAACCCAGTTCAAACTCCCAACCTTACTCAAAACCGGCGACGTAACGGCAATATCGAAGCGATCTGTTCATTATGAAGACTGATATAATCCCGTTCGTAATATCAACAACAGGGAAATACAAACAATTACCCGTGTTATTATAGATATCTAAGAAAACAAGATGATTATTTAACAAAAATACAACTTTAGACTTTGAAAGTCTGAGCAACACTATTTCGTTTAATTTGATATTAACTTTATATTGATGCCGAAATGTTATGCAATAACATTTTCAAGTAAAGATCAATATTATTGGTTCTAGCATTGTATTAATATGAACGGACTAGTTTTGATTATTTTCACTTATCCCAAGTCAAAAAACACTAAATATGCAATATCGTAGGTTTATTGAAATTAGGAAAACACATATAAACAGGCAATATTGTTTTCAACTAGAATCTTATTAGGCCAAATCCTGATATACATGAAAATATTGAGTCAATCAAGACAGTTTGAGTCAGTGATTACACTAAATTCGATTACATAAATAAACGTAATAAACTAAAAGTACAAATTGATAGTATAGTGACAGATGTAGCAGTTCTGATAATAATAATAATAATAACAATATAGGCTTGTATCAATGTTTCATAATGGGATGTAGGTCAAAGACTTGGCAAAATAAACGCTGAAATAAAACCCATTAAAAATAATTAAAATTACGTTTAAAAAGTATTTCAAATTAATAGTCAATGAAGCGTCTATTTAGAAAAAGGGAAGTAAGGAAAAATAGATGAACAAAAAGTATGGTAGATAATAAAATCGTTTGTCAAGGTAAATTTGGCTAAGGAGATTAGAATTTTATAAATTTCATATGAATACGAAGATTTGAGTTGTTGATTTTCTAGTTTTGCAAGAAAACATTCTTCAAGAATAACACTAACGTTGAACCAATCACTATTTCATCAATTTGTCTATTCGACACAAAATGAACATTCATTGTAAATTTCAAAAGTAATCCTTTGAAACTAACTCCGGAAATTCCGATATTGATCTGGTCATCAAGTAGTTGTAGAAACATAAATTCAGTTGTCTGAATTAATAATACCATGGAGAATAAAGAAGTAATAGTCCAAATGTTCCGCCTTTGGAATGAAATTGAAAACATCTTTAACGCTTCTATTACCGATTAATTTGTGTAAATCATCCAGGATTTCAATTAACAGCTTGGCAATTTTATGTTATAGAGAATTATACATATTTGAGACTGGACGAAGAGGATTAGAACTCAGGAACCATAAAATGGTGGAGTATTTGACCGCTGGGTTTCTGTAAATCATGAATGGTTGAAGCAATTCCTCCCTTAGTTTTTAATTCACTAAGCTAATTGATCAGCCGTTTCTCTGCTTCCATATATATATCAGTAATGCCATTGAGCTTTTGAAACTTTGTTGACTCATTCAGAAATCCGTTCATTTTATCGATGTTATTTGTTATGTTCATTTGAACAAGCACCCCTCCTTTGTTTGACTTGATTACGATCAGTGTTATTGTTTCTAAACTTATATTAGTCTTTCGCGCGCTTGATCGAAAGCTCATAGTTTGATTCACAGTTGTCAGATCATGGATCCGCACTGGTGAGTAATTTCATGGTAGGATAAAACAATAGTGTAATTCATCACCAGTTTCATCGGTAATCTAACTGATATCACTTTGTGATTTGAAAATATGAGAAGTCTATGATTGACCCATAGGTTACCATGACTAATTTAATGTTTCTCAAATATATACATATAAATATTTCTGTAAAGTCTAATAATAAGATCAATACTGTTTATTTATACATATTGCTCTTATTTGGAACCATCACATTAGATTTTTTTAATGATACCTGAAAAATCGATTCCGCATTTTCTAACATAGTCGTTTTATTCACGTGTATTCTTTTCTTTGAATTACAGACTAAATCAAAGAATATTAGGGACTGATGATTTACTTATATAACAATCTAGATTAAATCATTACCGTTCATTGACGCTATTTGATAATGCATTGTATATTAAGTGATATTGAATATATAGAGCAATAGAATGCATAAAAATTATGTTTATCGTGAAATATTGGTTTCTGGAGTTTGTTCCACTGTAAGATGATAGGTCTACACTGTTGAATAGTTCATAAGTGGAACTAGACAATCATTTAGTGTGTTCTGTAGTCTGTTTAATAGCTGTCCATATAATTTTATTTTGTTTACCAATCTGTTATAACTAACGTAGGATCTACAACAAATCTGTATTAGTTCAGGTTTCTATAGTTTTAGCACACAGTGAATATATTAATATGGTGCATAGAAAAAGGCGTTTAGTTTTGATGACTAAACACAACGAAAATCGCTTAGAAAAAGTAATGAATGAAAATTATTAGATAATTTTAATATTGGCACCAACATAAACTCTAATCATACTTGATCCATTACTGAATACTGATGATATGAAAATCAGATCAGTTATACACTCTACAAGGTCAGATACCAAAGTACATAGGCAAAAATTTCTGCACTTTATTTCATACGAACATAAAATCCTAATAACAAAATGGGGGTTTGTGGACATTGTAGTAATTTTGATAGTTGAATTCAAGAGTCAATTTAAGCTAGACCATCATTGGAAACCTGGAAGCATTGGACAGCCGTTTCGTCCTAATGTGGGACTCCTCTACCAGTGCGGGTCCACTATCCTGAATACAGGACTCGGACCAAGGACCTTCGGTCTCTCAAGTGAACGCTTAGCCTCGAAATCATTGAGCTCGCATCCAACGATGTTAATGTCTAACTTCATCCAATCCACAATATTGCGTGACTGTCCAGCATTGTTTTCAATGAGTAACGGCCTCACAACAGACATGATGGAACTCCACTGTTCACAAGGTCAAGGAACAACAAATATAAAATAATACTAAGATGTAATGTTTATAAAACAAAACATACATTCATCTTTGGTGATGATGCTGCTATCTATGAGTTCTATCGTTTACGGTTTTTAACCACATATTACAATGTTCTTTCAAATCAAGAGGATTTTCATATAAATTATACAAATTATTTATTCATAATTTTGTACACAAAATTGCAATATTTAAAACGGGATTATTTTTACTGAATTTATTAACTTATATAGTGGTGTGGGTTACTTATATCCATATAAGTAGTATATAATGGTGGTCAAGCGTAGAATGTATTTCAGCAGAAGATCGATAAGGAAAGAACGGAAACGGAACGAAAAGGCATGAACAATGAAATTTGAGACAATGGATTGATATTTGCAAAGGAACAGTCATCTTTGAGACGATGGATTGATATTTTGCAAATTAACTATTTACTATATGTTTCTCAGATTTTATTGTGATGCTCTGTAATATTGTGTCAAAAATATTCGGTTGTCCCCATCCGTGTTCCTGTTCACTACAATATGACACCGAGAATGGAACTATGACTGAACGATAACATTTAGTGACAATTTATATGTTTGATAGTGAAACCATGAAGATAACATTTAATTTACTTCTGAAAATGGGTCCACTTTTGAAATAATTCCATTATAATATATCAAAACAATTGAATATATTGAATGATCTTGTAAATAAGTATCCTTACTAAGATCTTACTTGATAATTTCAAATAAATTGAGCATTGGGTAAAGTGTTAATAACAAAATAATGATATATTCGTGAAATCCCTAATAATATTACTGACGATTTGCGGCAGATTCACAAGTATGTACACCGACACATACGAAATTGCTTAAACCAAAACTACATGACATTGACATAATCATTATCTGATTTAGTCGAACGAAATATTCTGCATTGTTTATTGAGATTATTTAAAATTATGTCAATTTAATTCAATTATTTTTATCTATTCTCTGAAGCAGAGACTTAGATTAGGATGCGAAATACAACAAACTCAATATTCTGTTCACTACGATATCACAAATATATCATTATTTTATTATGCTTTTGTAAATAAGCAAAGATGGATAGTGGATCTTGTAAATAGTTTACTTGAAGGGGTTCTGTGAAGATTGGTGTGATTTGTAAGTCTCAAATCGATCACTTTTGGTGTATTACTAAATACATAGAAGAGCTGAACCCAAGACATTCAAGTCTAACCGTTAGGATCATTATGTTGCAGTCTCGTAGTATAGTTTCAACTCCAATCACTTCGCGATATAGCTCAGCGATTAGCCAATGTCAATGGTAACAACCTAAGATATATTTGAGCTTCGACAAACACAATTTTCATTAAAACCTCAGAAACAATTCAGTAAACAACATAGTTTGGTTGAAAGGATTTTTTGAAAATTGGCATTAATTAATAAACTTCATTTATCAGTGTTTCTTCATTTTCAACGGTACACTAACTAAAACCAATCTAAGAATAATACAATCTATAGAGATTGTAAATCATGTACTATTCACATTAGTTCTGAGAGCAAAAAAACAAAAGAATCAAATATATGAATACTTACTGTTTAACGTATTCTTCTATGTCTGACTCCATCTCATTGATTTTTTTCGACTTGATATCATCAATTATGTCAATAGTATGCTCAATATTCCCATTCACACCATTATTATTAATATTATTAATGGTATTATTAATAACATTGATCTGATTGTGTTTCCCCTGATTATTTGTTAAAAGTAGTATATGTTCATAATCTTTACTAATTAATTGAATATTATTTTGACATTGAATACAAAGTTTTGTTGAATCATATACTGGAAGTTTAGATAGTTCTAATAAATGTTTATGATGATCATTAAAATATACTGAATTATCATTGATAATCATTGGTGAATTATGTTTATGATTATTTATTGTTTCAATATTAGTTATTATAGGTATAGATGGTATAACAGTAGTGATGATGTTCGATTTATTTTGATAATCTATAGAATTAGTGGTATTACAATGTAATTTATCAGTTATTTGCCTATTAGTTATATGTACAGATGTGTTTTGAGCATCAATTTTGTGATGATCATTATCATCATTCTTGTTAGAATGAACTGAAATGTTATTCAATTGATTTGAACAATTCGATATAGACATTATAGTGTTATTTGTATGATTAGGAGTAAGTGTATTTTTAATTCCAGGATTAATAGTATTTTTTGATGTATAACTAATTAAATTGTCATGATTTTTATTATCCAATGGAAATGGAAGTGAAAAACTATTTGATTCTTTACGTCCTGCCGTTGCTACAACCGCTACCGCTGCCCCCGCCTCAGTTGTAACGGTTGATGATGTTGATGACGATGAGGATGATGAAGAAGGTGTATTTGATGAACAATGTCGGCAAAAATTTAAACAAAAATTTGATTGATGATTATGATCGTTGTTATTGTTGTTATTATCATTTAACTGTTTTTTCTTTCGTTTATTTGAATTTTTAATGCATCTGGTATATAAGGATAAGAAACTATTGGTATGATTAGCATCATTATCTGAATTCAGTTTCCTTGATAATGGTGTTGAAGTTTTTGTAGTTTTAATTGACGGTCTGTATATGATTCTAGTATTATCACTTGTATTATTTTGTGAAATCGTGATGTTTGTTATTTTATGATCAGCTAATTGTAAAAAAAATTAATAATGAATGAGAAACAATTAGTAAATTAATTACTTATTTCAGTAATGTAGAAGGAAAATTAGTAATTAAATGATGATTGACTTGAAGAACCAACTTAAACCAATTAATCACTTTAAAAAAAATTGTTAACAGTTTCCTATTATAATGTTAGCAATTCATCTCTAGAGAGATGTAACCGATGATGATTATCTTTACTAGGTGTGGAATAAATATTCCCAGTTTAGATGAATGATAGTAGTGGACTTGTTAGTATAAACTAGGTGGTCGTATGTTAAGTTTATATGTTTTTGATTCGACTTCTATCAGGGTCATGGATAGGCAGTGCTGAGGAATCTCATATTACAACGAGGTACCTATTCAGTACTCTTTCATGGTCGTTTTGAGAAGTAAAGTAATCTAATAATGAGATCTTTTTCACAAAAACAGGTATTTCTGACTTTTATTTTCATATATAGCGTTTATAGTTACAATAATATACAGGCAATTATGCAACATATCTGTGTACAAATAAATGTGACTACTGAAGTTTTTGTGGCTCTTAATCTGACTCTATATCGACATTATGAGTGATTGAAATTGAAATATATATGCCGCTAAGCCTTGCATACAATTATCCACCTAAACAGAGTTGATGAATAACGGGATTAAATTAGTCGAGTCCGAGAATGGATTTTTGAATACCTATATTTCATAAAATCGTTGGTCGGAAATCGAAGCAAAATGAAATTACGCGCGGAAGAGAAAGCGAGTGAGTCAGCTCGTCTTAAAGATGCGTGGCTCGATATATATAGCCAGACAAAAATGTGATGAGTAAGATAGGAAATGCACACATATACGCTTACATAAAAACAGTCAAGGTTGATCAGAGAATAAGTGACTGGGTATGAATAGATTGATCTGTCCAGAAGCTAGAATAATCTATGTGGGTTTGACATCGTAACAGTCCCAACAAAATAACTAGTTTTAGATTGAGATCATGAAATAACTAGTCTCGAATATCTCAATAAATAATGACCGCTTAATTTACAATCATAATCTTTGTAAGTCTTTAGTAGGTTATATTAGCAATATTAAAAAAAGTTAATGAAATGTGAAAAATAAATTCGTGGAAAAGTCCAATACACATTTAAATTGGACACGGAAATCATAAAACAGAAGACTCAATCGTTGTTGTGTAATTATCTATTTCGGACAGCTTCTAGACTGATCAAAAAATTCAGTTTTCCAAATTGTACTCGTGACACTAATGAAAATGAAAAATAGTCAGATGATTTTCGTAACTCAGATCACATTTTAGACTTACGTACTTGAAAAACATTTTCAGATCAGAACTCAATTAGTTACACCAGTTGTTAAATAATTTAACCTAAATAAATTTTGTTTTCTGTCAAATTGTATACTTATCAAAGAAAACGTATATTATAAGCTGAAATGAATTGTGACTAGCAGTGGAATCCAAGACACGCATTTCATCCTATTCGAGATTCGTCAGACGTATGTACCTGCATCCCAGAGTTAATGTTCTGCACGGACCTCGAACCTAGTACCTTTCACTTCAAATGCCATAGCGTTATCCACTTAGTTACTGAATCCTGATATTCACTAGCTTGTGTAGTGCGATGAAGTTTAAATCATTTTTTGTAATGGTTGCATGAATCTTCCCATTGATGGGATGAAAGTGCATCTAGCTGACAAATCCCAAAATAGGACGAAACACGCATCCTGGATTCCACTACTAACCACCATCCATCTTTGCTTATAATGCTTGTGACTTAAGGTAATATCGAGGTAATCCGCATAGGATGCACATATGCCAACAACACACTGATCAATTGCAACGATTTAGACAACTAAGGCAAAAATGAAAATATATATGAGAGAATTCTTTTTTATAATCTCAATGAAATCAGGGATAATTTTAATTGGGAATTCTTCACATGATGGTATATTGCTATAAAAAATAGTCTATCTTGAGCAAATGATTAATGCTGTTCGTTAGTTGTTTATGTAAATAATATAGAACCAGACATACTTCATGTTGATTTTGTCTAGTCAAACGAATAATGTTCTTTTATTAATGAATAAATATAGTGACTTAATAGAATAATATGACTTATTGGTGATATGAAACATAAAGAAGATAAATATATAATTAATTTTATAGTAAAACATAATTCGAAATTTTGTAATCTAATCAGAATTTTAAATGAAGTCGATGCTGTTAATATTCTCTACAAAAGAACACTGAGAGTTCTCCAAATGTACAAGTCTAAATGAGAGAAATTGCAAATCTTCTTCATCATTTCAAAAATTTAAAAAATCTATTTTTTTCTAGATGAATAAAAGGAAAGTGATTCAAACCCATTGGAACATGTTACCTTGAATAAGTTTAGATAAACAGCTTGAAATTTCTAAATATCAATAGTTGAAATCGTAAGGCCCTGGGTTCGAGTCTCGTGGGGTGCGGGATCGTGGATGCGCACTACTGAGAAATCCAATACTAAGACGAAACGGCCGTCCAACGCTTCTAGGTTTTCCATGGTGGTCTAGCTTCAATTGACTCATGATCTCAACTATTGAAATTACTAAAATCTCCACAAAACCCCTTCTGATTTCTAAATATGATATATTTTAGATTTATTGTTATTTTGTGAAGTAGACTTTATATTAGATTATTATGCACCATTAATAGTTGATAAGTCATCTAACTGAGCTCCAGATTCGGTTCCTAAGCTCTACTAGTAACCCCCAGGCTAAGTCAACACAGCGACTTGAACATGAAAGAAAATGCGCGAAATACGAAAGAAACATTTTACTCCAAGGTTCATTTATATACAGAAAATCTAGGGTTTTTAAAGTATTTTAGATGGCCTTGGGTTTCTGGAAAGTTCTGGAACGCTACTAAACATAGTAGCAATATAGCTAATCATCCAATCAGAAATTCATCATGTAACTTTTCACTTTGCAAATGTTTCTGGCAAAAAGTCTAGTGAATGCTGATTAGATTATATGCTATTCAGCGTCTTTGTTGGGTTTTTTTCCACCTAAACAATAATCATAATATTTTGCTGAGACATTGATCAGAAAAACGGAAAGTGAAATTAAATTAAATAGAGAACTAGTTTTATGAATTATGTGAAGGATTGTTTAACGCGTAAACTTAAATGAACAAACATTTGCTTGAATTAGAAAGCATTTTGATGGAATCTATTAGTAATTATGCCAAGACATTACATAGTAAAAATATAGTTCAAAGAAACAAACAAATACGTGAATTAGCATTGTATGGACAAATTCATCATCACCCGAATATTTTTAGCTTAATAAGAAAAGATGTAAAAACTAGTCTTCTTTTAGTTGAGTGATCAACTATAACTTATCCAAATCAATCCCAACAGTAGTCTAGAGGTTGAGTATTCAGGTGTGAGAGCGAAGACATAGATTCGATTCCTGGATACGTGGTCGTGATTGTGGATTACCGACTAGTCTCATCCTAGAATGAAACGGCCATCCAATCCTTCTAGGTTCTCAATGGTAGTCTAGTTTATTTCAGTTCATGACTTAAACTATGAAAATTATTCATTTGTGTTTAACAATTTTTTAATCGACTATAAATTTTGGTACAATTGGCGCTACAACCAAAGCAATAATCTTGTCAAGAAATAAATGAGGGAAGAATTGTACAATTAATAAATAAATCAATGAATATAGTATGGTTTAAGAATTATACTTTATCAGTATACTTTAGTTGAAAATCCAAGTTTCAAAAACTTCTTTCTGTTTAGAGGGTTCGTCTTACGTTATTAAGACTACAGTAGTGTGATCACTGACATATCTGATAAAATCTCTAATGTTATAATCATAGAGTTGTGATGAACCCAAGTATATAAGTTTAATGCAGCTATCATGGCATAAACTGACCACCACTGATGTAGCCAAACTATACGCAGTTCAAATGAATGAATAATTTTATATTACAAATGTTATTATAACAATAAACTAGTTATCATTTATAAATACTCAGAAAAAAAGTCTGTTGATTGCTGAATATTTTATAAAAACTCAACATTATTTTGTATCTGCTAACATGACTATTATGTTGTATCTTTCATTTAGGAAAGACTTAAATTTTACCAATTAAAGATAACTTAACTGGTTGAAATCATGAGTCAATTGAAGCTAGATCACCATGGAAAACCTGGAAGCACTGGACGGCCGTTTCATCCTAGTATGAAACCCCTCAGCAGTGCGCATCCACGATCCCGCACCCCGCGAGATTCGAACCCAGGACCTACCAGTCTCACGCCAGGCGCCTAACCAACTAGACCACTGAGCCAGCATCCAACGGTGTTAATGTCTAACTTGAACCAATCCACCATCGAAGCTAAACGGTAATTAATTAGTAATCTCGAAATAAACAACATATCTTTTATATAGTTTTCTTTTTTTATTGTTATGTAGAATTTCCCCAGAGAATATTTTTGTAATAACAAACTAAACACTTATTTGTTTATCATTTGATAAACGCATACCGAAACTGATCAATTACATACCGAAAATATGTTTAGTACATTTCATAATGAACTGTGAAATGAAAAACACATTTTCTTCTCTTTACAAAATAAACATTTTTGTGAACTGTAACGAAGTGACACATTATTATACATAATCACTATAGTGTATTATCATCAAACTTGGTATATATTTATGAGTCGTTTAATAAACTAACAACCTTTCTGAATATGCAATAAAAATCAGTAATACATTTTGTTGAATTTAAACTTCAACCCATTGCACAATCAGGTGGCTAACAGAAATAAGTAGCTAAGTGGAGAGCACGATGGCGTTTGAAGAGAACGGTATTGGATTCGAGTCGTGGAGTGAACATCAACTCTGGAATCCAGGTACATCCATCTGATGAGTACCAGATAGGACGAAACGCACGTCCTGGACTCCACTGCTAGCCACTGTCCATCTTTG